TGGAGATGTGTAGGAAGGGAAAGAGGGACTTACTTAATGCATTCTATGAAAGCATCTGGATCGACAGACTGTGGGCAAGATGGGAAAGGAAAGGATTGGGCAAGATGCCATGTGCCTCTGTTCCCTCGTCTTCCCTCCCTCCCTGCCTCCCTCTTTCCCTCCCTCCCTCCCTCCCTCACCGGCATGTACAGGCGGGCCAAGGAACTGTTGAGACGTTGCATGTTCAACTCCGGCCGGAAGAGCCGCAAGCGTCCACAGACGTCCTTGTACGCCTTCATCCCTTCGAAACATTCCAGGGCGTAGTGCAAGACCGAAGCAGCGGGGGAGAGGGACAAAGGGTGGTAGGCGCTGATGACCGGAGGATGCCAGCCCTGCAGGCGCGGAAAATGGGAAGGACGGTAAAAAGTGGGAAGGAAAATTTGTAAATTAAGTGGACGTAAGCTTCCTGGACATCGTGACAATCGTGGCCTTTGTGAGGGCGTTCCTCATTCCCTTCCTTGCTCCATAAACTTCCAAATCCGCCTCCCCCCTCTCCCCCTACCCCCTCTTTTCTCACGTTCTTGTAATCCCAGTCGATTTCCAACATGTGGTCACTAAAGACCTTTCCAAACACTAGCTCCTTCTGCGGTACCTTGGGCTAGTTTAAAAATAATGAAATTGGGGAGGAAGCGAGAGGAAAAAGAGTCAAAATGCACGTCAAAAAATTATGGAGGCCTTTGACAGTTCTGGTACTCACTCTTGGGCTGGTGGTTCTTTGAATTCGCATGAGCTTGGGCTGTGATGGATTATGCGTGGCAGGCGGTGGACTTATTAGAAGCAAGCCATACGAGCCTTTCTCTTTCTCATAACCCCCCCGCAAGTTACGTACGTCGATAGGAGCGCCATCCGGAGCCTCATTATGGACGGTATGATGATGTGGTTGTTGTAAAAATGGGTATGAAAGAAAAGATTGAAAGCAGCCGCTGTTTTTGCTTTCGCGCTTGATGCTGGTGGGAGGGCGTGCCGGAATGAGACCTCTTCGTGTTCTTGTCAGAAATGGAAATATTTTCGACATCCCAGCAGCTGCCTGCATAGGAAAGAACAACAATTGACAATATGAGCCCGGTGAACGCACCAATGTGTTGTGTGCGTTTTAGGCAGCAAGGCCTCGACATGAAGGAAAGGATTAGAAAAGAAAGGCATTTCCGAGGCGACCACGTCCGTGTCCCGAGTATATACAACCTCGCGATCATTCAATAGCTTTAATGTCCTCAATTTGTCAGTCTTGATGACATGGAGCTTGATGGCACGCTTGTCCCTGCGTTGTGATGCTCGGGGATGCCAATTTTGGACTTCATTTTGTGCCAACTGCTGCGCAATTCTGATGCCTCCCTTGCTTCTTTGCGCTCGGGCACCTTTCCTGACTGCGGCAGATCTCACTGATAACCCCGGCTGTCACGCGTGAAAATTAATTACGCCCATATTGAGTACCTATCACCCATTTTGATGATGCACCTGACGACCAAGTCGTCGAGCGACATGGCTTTTATGCTGTCGTCAACTGATGTTTTCATGTCAGCTTCTCGCCGACGAAGCCCGTCCGGTCGGACCGGATGACTGAAGCAGGATAAGCGATGCTTGAACCCCAGGTTGAATACTTATGACGTGTCGGGTGTCAAGCATTTCCCGTTACCATAATTTTTTCTTCGCGGTGTTTCTTGTAGACTGCCTTGTACACCAACAATGGGGACTCGGGTAATGGGAGGTTTCTGAATCACCACCCCGGTCTTGCTCTGAGGCCTCTATCAGAACAGTCAAGCCAAAGTATTTCTGCCGGAAAACACAAACATCAAAGTGAATGGAAAGAAGTACGTGAAGTCAAACATGAGCCTTTTTTAACAGATATGTGACTGTAAAGAGGGAAATAGCACGATTGATGCCACGCCGGGCTCTTAGATTTCAAAAACGGAAACAGCCAAGTCTTTTCTTTTCTGAATTTACTTTCCCAACATCCTCAGATCTACCAGAAGCAGAAATACTGACAGCCTTACGTGCACAATCTACTCAAAAGTCTCAAGAAATTAGGTCTTTATACGGAGGAAATAAAAACGAAACCAGTCACATGTACGACGCGAAGAGGGCGGTGCAAAACGCAAAAACCCAACTTCTCAAGGTACATTTTGGTAAGAATGAGCCAAAGAAAGCCAAAGACAATGTAAACGAGACTAAGCACCCGTGTCTTTCATATTTTTTTGCCCAAGGAGGGGTTTAAAATTTTTGAAGAAATGCTTATAGACTGCTTTATGAGAGCTCGAGGGCAAGCGACTGGCAACTCCTCCCTTCTTGAACTGGTCCAAGCACGTTACGAGAGACCCTCGCAAGCCTATATCTCCGAGCCGTAGTCAACTTTCGCACGTTGCTTTTGTCTATCTCCTCAAATTATTATATTGAGGATACCCCTTTCTTTCCGTGTCAGGCATTTGTCACGCCAGTGGTCCAGATCTGGAGCCTTGGCGCAGGCACATGCATGCATGGGCCGGGAAGCTTCCAAGCGATGAGCGACGTAACGCCTCAACCGCTAGATTTGTATTCGTATACCTAAAGCTATCCATTAACTTTAAAGCCAGCTTGACGTATAAACATCCTGGCAGAGAATACATACAAGAAACCTAATTTCAATCTTTGATCTTCATTTGGTCGTAAGATCGCATTCTTAGTCACTGATCCGATCTTCCCATGAACGGATGAACAAATATGTCGTCGTGGTATTTTGATTCGCAAAGTTGTTTTATCGTGCGCTTGAGAGGAGACCACATTGTCGACTTTGATTAGGCTTAATTATTTGCAGAGACCAGTCCCAATCATTGCACTGAGTGCGGGAGGGAATGGGTACAGTTTTTCTGCAAAAATCAAGTAGAGCTCGCGTAATGTGTGGAATAACACCGACAAATGATAGTATAAACAGCTCAATCCACGGTAAACTTTACACAGCAGAATAAAGAGCCATACAAGGGAGCCATGCCGACACCTTTAGAGCTAATTCCATCGACGACCAGTCCTGAACCAAGCCCTACCTCAAAAGCCTCCCTGCAGCCTCAATTGTATCAACCCTCGCGGGCAGCAGTCGCACGAATGCACGCCTTAGAACTGGAGGGGCGCCTGGAGGCTTGTTTTACCTACTGTGAGTGTGGTTGTCGCGTCTTGAAAAGGCTGGTCTCCTACATGGTTAGCATCGCGATATTCATTTTTACTAGCCTCGTCATTCGTCTGGGATTGCTTATCGTGGCTGGAGTCGCTCTGTATTATTCTTTTTTGGTAGGTGAGAGACAATAGGTGCCAAAAACCAATAGACAGGAAACGAAGTGTCATCGCCTTACATTAATTTTATTCAAACACAATACAGCTCAGCCTCGGGAAGATCTCCGGCGTAAAGGATCCAAAGCTTCAAGGTGGGAGGGAGGTTTCAGACGGATGGAGTAAGGAAATGATGGCAAGGAGCCCTGATTTCTATTTAGTAGTCTTGGTGATGATTACGTCATTATTTTAGGCGCATGTGTGGGTCTACATATTTCTTGGGTACATCAATAAGAAAGGGAGATGATACACGCACTCGTTTATGGTCTGACTTCACTACACCATCACGTTCTGCCCAACTTTGCACAGATTACTTCTCATATTCTTCGTTCAAAAACTACTGGGGGTGGACTTAAGAAAGACAAATAATGGCCACTTACAGCCGTTAAAAAAAAAGAAAAGAGAAGAACATTGTATCTGTAAAATGGAAAAAATCGAACTCGCACGTACTTCCACCCTTTTTCATACTCTAAAAGCAATGATTGTTTGGAAAATGAGATAAGGTCGCTGCATTTTTTCAGAGTGCTGTAGCTGTGACTTTGTCCAGTAGGAAATAGATACATTGATCGCAGCATGTTCATACCTTCCTCGATGAATCAAATCAGGAAAATACATAAAACGTATTCATGATAGATCCAACGGTATAAAGCAAAGATTGTTATCCTTTGTATACGCGCTTAGGATCGGAAAGTCCTCCCTCGTACTCATATTCTTTGTGAACAGTCGCTTTTCATGCTTTCGCCACAGCATCATACCCGGAAGTAGATGCCATTGCTGCGCCTATACCGTGCTCTGTTCCTGTCATTTCCTACCACCTTCTCCACGCTAAAACAATGACAAAAACACAGTCCTGGTGTAGAAGAGCTTGACTCTTCAACGATGTTCTTTCGTCGTTGTATGACAAGCTGTCCGACGGGAGCCTTCCTTTCATCTCCATTACGATCGCGCAGAGAAGTTGGCGATGCGCCCATGTCATGCCCTCATGATACCAGAATTACCCTCCGATGAGTTGCTCTGTAGAAAATGAATATAAAATGCAAGTCTATACCACCTTTGCTCATGTTATAGGTTACTGGAACGTTTATCGATCCCTCGCGATTTTCGTCGAGGGCGTCTAGAGCTCTGTTTGGGTACCTCGCTGCTGTCTGTTGATCAAAGACATTCTTGCAAGACTACTACTCCACTCCAAAAAGGACAAGCCTCCGCAAACTATGTCAGACGTAAGTTCCAAAAAGTTCTCCCTGCCCTTGGTTCCAAGGATCCCTTCACGGTCATTCCCCCACGTCCCTGCTCACACTCCTGGAATCCCTTTCCTTCCCGTTCTTATATCCCATCTCTTTCCGCTTACCCCATCCTTAGCCCTTTGTCCCCTCAGTTACTGCCATATTCGTGCTTGACAATGATGGTCAGCGGCTATCAGCGAAGTATTTCAACCCGATATTCGCCACCAACGCAGAAAAGGTGCGTGTGTCGATAATGGGGGGGGTCAGGAAGGAGTGGAGATGTGTAGGATGAGGCGATGTATAATCGTGCGGAAGAAGCCCGCCTTTGATATTCTTTGAAACAAAGTGACATGTATCCTCCTGAGAAGATCGTTGGGCACAGGGGGTGATGGACTCATCAGGCCGCGTGAGCCTTTTTCCGGAGCATGCCTCTTACGCCTTATATTCCCTTTCGTATCTGGGCTCCCATCGCATCAATGTGAAACGCCAATTCCGTGTAGATGGCATTTGAGATGCGTGTTTTCAAAAAAACCCGGCACAACAACGCCCGCTCCGAATGTACGTGGGGAAGGGAGAGAACGAGGAGGAGACAAGCAAGGGGAAAATGTAGCACGTGACACATGGGGGTTTGGGTGTACAGGGTTCCGATACTGTATTCATAAGAAAAACTTGAGGGCTAAGGGATCGATCCCAAGGGCACGGGAGCAAGTGGGGTGTAAAATTTTGCGAAAGACGTGGTATTTCACGCGCGGTGCAGGACGGTGGAGCGCATGAAAGGCTGTGGTGGCGTCGATAGTGAATTACCGCTTATTTTTCACGTGTTCATCATCCTCTTTCTCTGGGTTACACCACTTCACGGTCGCTTCCTGGCCTCAGCCGAGATCATAACAATAGACAACTTCACCGTCGTTTTTCGGTCCGGCACTGATGCGCACTTTTATGTGGTGGGAGATGCGAAGGAGGTAGGAAGGGAGGGCGGAACGTTAGAGAAAAAGGGCAAGCAAGGTGGAGCAGTGCGCGTCAAGTCAAAAATGGACGGCGTTTACGCACGTGGGACCTATACACAACATTTCCGTGGGGTTCCCTGGATTCTGTCACAGAACGAGCTAATCTTGGCCACTGTGCTGGACGCGTTTCGCGACGCCATTGCCATGCTCCTGCGGTACGTTCCTTCCTCCTTCCCCATCTTCTTCTTCTTTCTGTGTACTGCATAGCAATGGGAAGGTATTGAATCTCTCTCTTTGGAAAAGAGGCTGGGAGTGTGACGTTGTGGAAGCGTCTGACGCGATACCCTCCGGACAGGGGCCAAGTGGACCGTCGCTCGCTTTTGGATAATCTGGACCTGCTCATGCTCACAGTGGATGAGTTGGTGGACGGTGGAATCATCTTGGAAACGGATTCTTCCGCTATTGTCGCGCGTGTTTTGATGTAAGGGAGTGGGCGGGAGGTGGAGGGAAGGAGGAGAGTGCTTGCCACTCATAGGTTGGGTGCCCCCGTCCCGCAGATGTTCCGTCCTCCGTGAATTCATGTGTTTAGAGCCTCTTGCTTGTAAGGAATGGATTCTTTGGCCTGATCTGCGTTGCTTCTCCCACGTTACAGGCGGGGCGTATCCGGAGGTCAAAATGTCCCCTTGGCGGACATGACCATCTCACAAGCATTCGCGTCTGCGAAAGACTCCTTCATCAAAAGCATGGGGAATCGCGAAGGAAACTTTTAAGGCCGTGATGGCAGACGGGAAGCGATATAAAAAGCAAACGATGGCAACACCCGACTCATGCTGTTGACGGGGTTAGGAGAAGGGGGGGGGAATGGTGCGCAAAATGGAACGAAGAGCTCTTAAAATCGAAAGCAAGCAAGAAGTCGAAACAAGACTTTGCCATAATGTTGTAGTCAAATGTTTTCATGTTGCTTCCTCGTTGTGATTTGGGTAGACTGGGTGAGGTCCAGAGATCTTGTGTAAAAGAATTTGAGGGGACGCAAAGCTACACATACGAGTCATCCAAGCTTGTCTCCTAAAAATGGAAAAGGCAACTACCAAACTTCGAGGCACGGAATGTAACTGTACCAACTATGCTGCTTTCTTAGACCATGGAAGGAAAATTTTCACAAATAAAAGTCATCGGACAATATTAAATGTTCCTATTTAAGCGAGATAAGCGCTCTCGCTGCTTAAAGCCTCTCAGGCAAGCCTGTTCCTCCGCCTTCAAAATTTCACCTGTCCGCAAGTGCCCTGTCCGCCGCCACATTTGCGATACGTATCCGACCAAGAAGGAGGGACGAAGAGTCGGAGACGAGAAATAATAGTGCCTGCCTCGCGTCGGGACGAGACTGTAGGGATTTAGGCAGGGATTACCATCGACATTTTGTGAAGTCCTCTTTCGCAGCTTTCTACCTTGGCTCATAATACCATATTGGATAAACCCTTGACTTCCCTTCGGATTCTGACCATGCTGCCGCGAGCACACGTTGGCACACATACATGACAGAGCGCAGGAGATGTCTTGGGGACGAGGAAGAGTGTGCACAGCGGTATAAACCATTGAAATTTACTATGCCCATTCTCCATTATGAGATCCTGTAGGGATACCGAAGTATTTCTTATTTTACGCGTCTCAAAAACATTTTTTTTTCTTGGGTTCACCGGTCACACTTTGAAAGACACGCATGGGGACGGACCTAGCGCGGCCGCGATCCTTCAAAGGTAAAAATAGCCTTTTTAAAAGAATATTTCTGCTTTTATTCGTGTACGCTGCGGCCCGCTTTTAACGTTCTTCCCCGCCCCCCTTAAAATCTCTTCCCCCCCGGTCAGGTCGCCAGAGGCCCGTGGACGACGACTGGGATGACGTAGACTTGCATTGCGTAGGTAACGCGCACAGGGGCAGTCGACAGTCCCCATCCCGAAGTGCCCAGACACGTGGAAGGGCCTCCCAAGGACAGCAAGTGGAGGGGGAAAGGGCCTCGTACAGAAGAAGATGGTCGCATCCAGCCCCGACGACGGAAGTAGTGCTGGCTCCTGCGTCGTCCCTGGACCCTGTGGGTTTGCAGGAGAAGAGTTGGCGATTCAACGATGTAAGTACAGTAATTAGGGTAAAACCATCCGGGGGGAGGGATGCCATGCCGAGGATGGGAATATGTCCTTCCGACGCCCCGCTGGCGCATTCCCGACACATCCCTCACCATGCTCTGCCCCTTCGCACCCACGACGTCGCCATCCTATCCGCACGACAGTACTTCTGGCTCGCCTCCTCCCTCGCCCTCTCCCCTCCAGCCTACATGCTGGGGGTCCTGGGGTCCCACCTGGGCCTCACCTGGAAATGGTCCGTCCTGGCTTCCTTCCTCTCTGCCCTCCTTGCCGCCGGCCTTGCCGCCTTGACCATGCACGCCCCCAGCAAGTACGGCATCCCTTTCTGTGTTTCTGCCCGGACCAGCTTTGGAATTTTTGGCGCGAAATTTTTCTCCCTCCTCCACCTAGGCCTGGCTTTCCCATGGACGGCGTGGCTCCTCAGCATTGCGACCGAGGGCCTCCGAGAGGGAATCACGCGCTTCCGTCCCTCCGTCGCCACGTGGAACCCGCTCCCTCCTTCCTTCCTGCCCCCCGGCCAATCCTCTCTCCTCAGCCTTCTCTGCCTGGCCAGTAGCTTCCTCCTCCTCGTCTCCTTGCACGCGTTTGGGAAAATCCAGGCGCTTCGTTCGCTCGCGCCCGTCCTCAGCACCCTCCTCCTTGCCTTCTACGTGGGTCTGGGAATATGGGCCTACCGCCTCCTTGGCCTCGACACCGGGCTCCACGCCTACGACGCAAAGGTCCTCCCTGCCTCCCTCCCTCCCTCCCCTCCCTTCCCTCTCTACACCTCCCTGCCCCTCGCCGTCCTCCTCGGTTTGGGCGCGTGGACGACCCCCCTCCTCCTTGGCTGGGGCGACTTGAGTCGATGGTGTAGTCTGCGCCCGTCTCCGCGCCATGCCCTCCTGGTGGTTTTCCCCCTCCTCTCCCCTCTCACCACCTTTCTGGGCTGCTTCCTCACGGGCACCGTCGCGCGCGGTTGGAGCACGGTGGTCTTCACGCCCACCGCCCTCCTTTCTTTCCTTTCCCCGCCCTACATGGCCTTGCTGGGAGGGATCGGACTCTGGGTTGCCACGCTTCACACGGCCGTTGTCGGCTATCTCCTCCCGGGGGCTCACGCCCTGAGCAACGTCCTGGGACCTCGGCTTCTTGCCAATACGGGCGTGGCAGGCGGGTGCTTGGGTTTTGGTGCCTTCCTATTTGTCCTCCTCGCGCCTTCCACCGTGTTGACAAGCCGAGACGCCCACGGTGGCTCGGCCTTTGTCGGGGGGTCCCTGCTCTCGGGCCTTGTCGGCGGGGCCCTGGTCGGGGTTTTGCTCTCGGACATTTTTTGGGTACGCCAAGCCGTCCTCCCCGTCCATTATCTGTACAAAACGACGCCGCGGTTGCACAAGGGGGGGGTAAACATGGGAGCGATTCTGGCCGTGCTGGCAGGAGGGGCGGTGTTTGGATTCCCTTCCCTGTGGCGGACGACCCTCCCCGCCAGCACAGAGGGATACGGAGCAGGAGCAGGGTCCCAGAGTACGATCGCTGCCACTGAACTTCTAGGCACCATGGGCTTTCTGCTCACATTCCCCCTCAGCTTTGTACTCTACGCCGTGACATACCC